AGTGATCTGCAATGCATATGATGCTCAATAACTGGGCAAGAACAGCCAGGTTGACAGCCAATCTTAGTCAGATGTATGTTGTAACATAGTGCAAAAAGGAGGGGGTGTAATTTAACATTTAATTAAGTAATTAATAGAAACAATATCAAAACAAAACCTCAAATGAACTCTAACCCCAGACTACCTTTGATTGCATGACAATAATCTTTGTTACTCAACTGGAGACAGAGAATAGCTTGTCTCTCCGAAACAGGAAGTTCCTTTCAGTTTATTAGTTCCAAGTCTGTTTTTATTGGCAAACTTTCCTGTGAGACTCTCTGACTACCGCCTTCTCCAGGAGACCCAGACATGCCTCGAGCTATCTGGAAATGTTCTGGCATTCTCAAGATGGGCAAGATAGGCATTTTGGTAGATATATCTTTGCCCAGTGAGGGAGATCTATGGGGAAAACAGGCTACCTCCCTACATTCCTTACTAAATTGACAGGCATCCACCTCCATCTCTCTGATGTTTCCCCAAACCTCACTAGATAGGCCAGGTGTAGTCTGTTATACAAAATAAGTATGTATATCCCCACCCATTCCTTAAGGAACAGCCAATACTGCAGATGCAAAAGAGTTGAACAAAAGTCATTTTGCATCTGCAACATCTGTGTGGAAATACAGGAACAATGTATTGTTGAAGGCTTTCATGGCTGGAGTCACTGGGTTGTTGTAGGTTTTTCGGACTGTATGGCCATGTTCTAGAAGCATTCCCTCCTGACATTTCGCCTGCAGATGCCTGCCATAGATGCGTTTTGCCTTCAGATGTCTGCCATAGATGCAGGTGAAACATCAGGAAAGAATGCTTCTAGAACATGGCCATACAGCCCGAAAAACCTACAACAACCCAATACAGAAACACCAATTTTTACATTAGCTACAGTATATCATAGAATCATAGAGCTTGAAGGCATCTCACGGACCATCAAGTACAACTCTCTCTTCAGTGCACGATTGTCACTAAAACATCTCTCATGGGTAGATGTCCACTTGTCCAGCCTCTTCCTGAAGATAGTCACAGGAGTCCTCACTGCCTTTCTAGGCTCAGAGCCACAGAAATTATATTCTGTATCTCCTACAATGACCTTGTCTATCATCATAACAATCCTATGATGTACATCAATCAGAGAAATCCAAATCCCTTTGAAGTACACTGGCTCTTTACTGGTGTTTGAGTGATTGGGTTGTTGTAGGTTTTTCAGGTTGTATGGCCATGTTCTAGAAGTATTATCTCCTGACGTTTCGCCTGCATCTATGACAGGCATCCTCAGAGGTTGTGAGGATGTAGTTGTGACCTCACACCCTCTGAGGATGCCTGCCAAAGATGCAGGCAAAATGTCAGGAGAGAATGCTTCTAGAACTTGGCCATACAGTCAAGTTGTTTGTAGGAAAGGACTTGTTGCACCTCAGAGTAAAATCACCTTGCTTAAGACACCACAGAGCACACAAGCAGTAGTCTTTATGATTTATTAAAGTAAAAAATAAAAAGTTCAAAAAGGCAAAAGTATATTTCAAAAGATCAATCCAAGGTAACATAGGCAAACAAGATCCATGAAGACACAGGCAAGGCAAAGTCCCATGAGAACATGACAAAGTTCTGAAAACATGAACATGAGGGCTACAAGATAAATCCAAAGTCTCTTGGTTGAAGCAGGAAGTTGCTCTGACCCTGAGGCATATTCAAACAGCCTGTTTAATACTCTTTGGATAACATGAAGGCATTTCTATGGCCCCGGGCCTCCCTCTCTCGCCTGCTAGCGATTCTGACACTCCTTCTAACTTTAAATTCCAACCGATCAGCTCGATCTAAACCTCCAGCTTCATCAAGGTCAATTCCCTCGTTAGTGCTTTTTCCCTCATTATCTGGCTGAGAACAATCTGGCTGAGAGCTGTCCTCCCTTCCTGAATCATACACCTGGCTCTCAGTAGTTTCCCTATCAACAGCGTCATCCCTTGCTGTGGGAAACAACTGAACTTCTGCCCCCTGTTCCTGGTCTTCGTCGTCTAACACAGGGACATCATTGCTTTGCACCTGACTGTGAATCTGAATCCCATCATCCCCATCAGAATCATTGACACTATCACTCTGAGATTCCAGCTGAGTCACAACAGGAGTTCACTGTGGACAAAGGATGCATGTCTTGAGATCCTAATTTCTCCCAATCCCATGTCCAGATCCCTGGAAACTCTGAAGGCCTCTAAACCACTTTGAAGATAAAAGAGGATGAGTGGGGATTTGTCACAGCCAGAAAAAAAACATGCTTCTTCCAGCTTAGAAATATTCCTGACATAAATCTTAAAAGTATTCTCTCCTTCTGTCAGTACTATTATATATTTTATAAGATTTTTCCCATTAGTAATATTTTTTATTTTACAAGTGGTTATGTATATACATATATACACTACTCATTCCCTAACTTCATTAATTTTAACAATTCATTATCTTTATATGATTCCTGTCATTTTATCTTATCCTGCTATGGTCTAAGGACGAATGCAATAAATGTTTTACTGCAACTACTACCATGCTTTCCACTCAGTTAATCATTCCCACTCTATCTCTTGAGACTATCTTAACTCTGAACTAGCTGCCTATTTAGTGAATGGCAATATGGAGCACTTCACTGTTATTATTGCAATTGACCCCAGCCTGTATTTATTAACATGTCTAAGCCTATAATATTTCTGAATACTCCAAGTTAATCGCAGGCTACACCATCTCTGAATTTATACTAAAGTGGAAGGACAAAATACAATAAGAAGGATTTTGGAAGGAAGGACAGGAGTCTGCCTCTAGCAAAAATGGAACCAGAATATTCACCACTACTTCTAGTTAAAAGTCTGCTTCAGAGTTTGTAACCACATTATATGTGTGTTTTAATTATAATCTTGGGCGTGTCCCCTGTAAGCCGCCCCGAGTCCCCTAGGGGAGATGGTTGGTGGGGTATAAAAATATAGTTGTTGTTGTTGTTGTTGTTGTTGTTATTATTATTATTATTATTATTATTGTATTGCCAAAGGCTTTCATGACCGGAATCACTGGGTTGTTGTAGGTTTTTTCGGGCTGTATGGCCATGGTCTAGAGGCATTCTCTCCTGACGTTTCACCTGCATCTATGGCAAGCATCCTCAGAGGTAGTGAGGTCTGTTGGAACTAGGAAAAGGGGTTTATAATCTGTGGAATATATTTTATAAAGGCTTGCAAATTCTCCGGCTGGAGTTCTTTGGATCTGTAAAGCTGTTTCCCCCCGGAATTTCTTAAGAAACCTTTTAGGGCTGTTTCCCTCAGATGCTGTAAGGCTGAGAGGTTGTAAGCTCCCTGCCAGAGCTTTGAGACTGTTCTCCCCGGAATTCCCTGGAATTCTTAAGAAGTGAAGCTTTTCTGCGGGTGAAGCTACTCCACGTCCTATAGCTTGGTTTCCTTCTGTAAGACTAACTAAAAATGGCTCCCTCTCCTCCCATGTCCCTGGGAGAAGGGACGGATCCAAACTTAACAATGATAGGCAGGTCTCTGACAGCTCATCCCTTGTTTGGGTATTAGCCAGCACATCAACAACTTAAATCAAGACATAGTTTTCTTAGATCTACAGAGACACTCGCTGGAACACCTCAGCAAGCGAGAGTTCAAAAGTGGCAGGCTCAAACCCAGCACCTCAATCCGTGGGTGATACCAGATGAGAGACTCCCCCTGGGCACACAGAAGACTGGGCGACTTGGAAGGCGCTGAACAGACTGCGCTCTGGCACCACGAGATGCAGAGCCAATCTTAAGAAATGGGGCTACAGGATGGAATCCACGGCATGCGAGTGAGGAGAGGAGCAAACCACTGACCATCTGCTGCAATGCAACCTGAGCCCTGCCACATGCACGATGGAGGACCTTCTTGCAGCAACACCAGAAGCACTCCAAGTGGCCAGATACTGGTCAAAGGACATTTAATCCACTACCAAGTTTGCAAAATCTGTGTTTTTTTTATCTGTCTGTTTGTTCTGTTCTGTTAGAAATGTAATACAATGTTCTGGTTGCAGATGACACGATAAATAAAATAAAATAGGCAGGTGGCTTGCCCCATGACTGCAAACCAAGGGAAGTCACCTTTTGCAAAATCCCTGATGCCTTGGAATGCATGCAAACATTTAATAGAAAGAAAATAAAGTTGGAGCTCCTGGTACAGATGTACCAGCACAACTAGCAGTGTATTTTGTGTCATTCGGTCAAGGTTTTCTTAGGTTTTTATGCAGCTAGGAGCCATCACCATGGATGACAATTTCAAAGTTTAACTATGAACCTCATCCCACACATTCTGGGCTCGATTTCCATGCTCTTCAGAAACGGAGCCCCACGGAGACCATCACATTATGTAAGGGTACTTCCAGTGGGATTTCACAAGACTCTGTTTCTGAAGTGCACAGAAACAAAGTCCAGAAAACGGAGAAAAATGAGAGAAAATGGAGAATTGACGTGGGAAGGCTGGCCATCCCAGAAGACAGACTTTGGCAGTAGGGAACAAAGCAAAATGATTCCCTCTGTTTTTCCCCTGCCCGTAGGATGTAGTCCTGTATGCTATGAAAGGGACTACTTCCCCTTTGCTGACTCACCCACCATTCAGCTTTACTGGAACGTAATGGCAGTGAAGTAAAAAAGTAACATACCACAACTCTAACCATCAAACCATGAGGCTCGGAGAAGCAAAAGACCAATATGTTTCTCTTCAGCTGCTTATAACACAGGGCCTCTGAGATTAGCTGTCTGGAAGGAAGCAAGTCTGAGAGTCTGAGTGAGGGCATCGAGAGGTGAAGTTCTTTTTATGGTTAGCCAAGGAAAGCTTGTGTTCTTCACAGGCAGGCTGCCCCATCAAACCACTTCTGAGCATGTGTTTTTGCTGGGAGGAATGAAGGGGCTTGAGACGTGCCAAAACCAGCTTTTTTTCCCCAGCACTTATTGTGAAAAAACAGCAGGGATGTTGGAACAATTTTTAAGGTGCGGGGTCGGGCTCAAGACTAACAGGTAGGCCATTATAAATTGTCTATATGAATGTGTGTTTTTACAAAAACAGTGAAAACAAGAGAATACCGTGCATCATCATTACCATATAAATCGAAGCTTGTTTTCAATTCGTCTAACATTATGACAATAATAAAATAATAAATGGCATCTATATAAATAAAAATGTAATGTTCATTTGTGAGATTAACATAACTCAAAAACCACTGGACAAATTGACACCAAATTTGGACACAATACACCTGTCAGGCCAACAAGTGACCATCACTCATAAAAACACTGAAAAACACAACAGAAGCATTTTAAAATGTCAAAAAATACATTACAATGCATGCACAAAACCACATATATATACTCAAACACATGCCTTTATAAAAATACTAGCTTGGGGACCCGGCGTTGCCCGGGTTATTAGAGAAAGTGGGTAATGGCGGTTCTGTATGCCAAGTTTGGTCTTTATTGGTCTTTGGATAACGGCTGCATTATTTTCAGGAAGTGAGTGAAGGTACTTGAAGTCCCATCATCCATGGGCCATCCTCCTACAAACAGCAGCAGGATATAGAGTGGGTCATGGGGGCTCTGTGTGCCAAGTTAGGTCTTTATCAGTCATTAGAGGAGGATGGCAGTGGTGTCAGTAAGTGAGTGAAGGTAGTGCAAGTCCCATCATCCAAAGTCCATCCCCTTTCAAACTGCAGCAGGATGTAGAGTGGATCATGGGGGCTCTGTGTGCCAAGTGTGGTCTTGATTGGTCATTAGAAGAGGGTTGCAGCAATCTTTGGAAGGGAGTGGAGGTACTTGAAGTCCCATCATCCATGGTCTGTCCTCCTCCAAACTGCAGCAGGATGGAGAGTGGGTCATTGGAGCTCCATGTGCAAGTTTAGTCTTGATTAGTCATTGGCGAGGGTCTCAGTGGTCTCAGGAAGTGAGCAAAGGTACTGCAAGTCCCATCATCCATCTCCAAAGTTTTCCAAATAACACCAGGACGTAACGTGGGTCATGAGAGGTCTATGTGCCAAGTTTGGTCTTGATCCGTCATTGGATGAGGTTTGCAGAGGTCTCAGAATGTGAGTGAAGGTACTGGAAGTTCCATCATCCATGGTCCACCCTTCTCCAAAACTGCAGCAGGATGTAGAGTGGGTCATGGGGGCTCTGTGTGCCAACTTTGGTCTTGATTGGTCATTAGATGAGTTTTGCAGCAGTCTTGGGTAGTGGAGGTACTTGAAGTCCCATCATCCATGGTCTGTCGTCCTCCAAACTGCTCCAGGATGTAGAGTGGGTCATTGAAGCTCCATGTGCCAAGTTTAGTCTTGATGAGTCATTGGCGAGGGTCTCAGTGGTCTCAGGGAGTGAAGTGACTGCAAGTCCCATCATCCATTGTCAAATTCTTCCAAACCGCACCAGGATGTAGAGTGAGTTATGCGGGCTCTCTGTGTAAATTGTGGTCCTGATCCATCATTGTTGGCAGTTGTAATGGTCTTAGGAAGGGAGTGCAGGTATTGCAAGTCCCATCGTCCATGGTGCATCCTCCTTCAAACTGCACCTGGATGTAGAGTGCGTCATGGAGACTCAGTGTGCCAAGTTTGGTCTTTATTGGTAATGTTCTTCGCCCAAGTTTCTTATTTACCGCTCCCTTTCTACCGTCCCATCCAGGTGTGTCCTCCCCCCCCCCACTGTTCCTTCCTTCATTCTCTACCTCTTTCCTTTTTTCCCCCCTTTTTCTGTCCCTTCTTTTTTCTTTCCTTCTTCCTC